CGACAAAGGGATAATAGGCCTAAAGCATCTAAGTCCTATACCGGTAGTTTTAGAAATAAAATAGTCTCCATGACTAGTTCAAATGAAAATGAAATGTTCGAGAGATAGATAAGTCAAATCGATTATATATATCTTTTGGTAATCATGTTGTGTCGGGTACTAATCAGCAATCGATTTACAGGCATAGGTAATACTTTTGTAGCCAGTCAGATTTCTTTTTTTTTTAAACAATTGGACTATCTTTACATCCTATAACTGGATTCTAAATGCAGTTAGAGGGTACCGGTCTGAGTTTCTTCGGCCACCCTTTCAAATTCGGTTGCCTAAACCACCTCCATTTAATTCAGAGCAGATGAAGTTCGTTGATTAATTAAATGTTGAGTAAGAGGGCTTTATGTCCAGGTGTTCCTTTTATTTTTCATACCGATCAGTTTATTTCTAATATCTTTTTAGTTCAGAAAAAGACTGACGATTATTGTCCTGCTATAAACCTGAAAAAATTAAACATTTATAAGTTATGAACATTTTACACCGGGAACTGTATGCTTTAAGTATAATACATATCTATCACCAATGGATCTAAAAGATGCTTATTTTTCTATTCCTATTCATCCAGATCATCCTAAATAGTTGCGTTTTATAGGGTAAGACCAGATGTTTGTAATTACATGTCTCCCTTTCAGAGTTTCCTCAGCTCAAAGAGTTTTTGCTATAGTTCTCAAACAAATTTGTGCAAGTCTTTGCAAGCAGGGTATACAATGTTCATATTCCATTTATTCCACTAACACAGCAAAAGAATGTGTATATAACACACAGAAAGCTGTAAAATTTTTCAAGAGCTAGGCTTTTGTATAAATGAACAAAAATCAGGTTTAGAACCTTCTAAAGAATTTGGTATTTTTTAAGGATTTACTTTAATTCTCATTTATTCACTGTATCTCTTATTCAACAAAAGAGAGGTAAAGTCAAAATCCAAGGCCAAAGCTTTATTAACATCGAACAACTCACTAGTATCAGACAAGTAGCATTTATTGGACTGTGTTCCTTTTCTCGAACAGCAATACTGCAAGCACCTTTTCATATTCTTTACCTAGATAAGGAGAAAACCAGAGCTTTAACAATAGCGAAATACCTCGCACCAAGTGACTCACGGTAGCGAATCAACTCGCGGACCCATCATTCTTTGCAACGGCGTTAGCGAACAAAAGTGCCAGATCAATCAACAGATTTCTATTGTGTTTATTTTATAAATTAATGGTGATTGAGTAATAAAAATAAAGCACCCAATGGCAAGGAATGTTATATTCGCCAATTATCGAATAAAAAACATACGTTTCAACAAAGGATCTTCCAGTATTTACGTAATAGTTCAGAGGTGAAAATTCACACCGTGTCAATGACTTTGGCAGTATTCCAATATTTTCACGTTGTCACTTACGGCTAATAATTTTATGATATGAAGAGTGAAATGGAATCAGATTTTTTATGATTTACTGCCAGGCATATCGTAGAATATGATAATGTCGAAGAAATCAACTATTTGTTATTTTTGTTGACGTTATGATGCGAAGAATACAGATACTCGAGCCGAGATCAAGCGTGTCGCCGCCATCTTGGATACGGTACGTTTTCAAATAGACGATTACACAAAACTTACGGCTAATAATTCTAGACGTTGGAAAACTAAATTGAATCAAAACTTTTGGGATTTAATACAAGCTACATAGAGGAATATTACATTGTCGAAAATTTCAACTATATATTTTTATTTTCGACGCAATAAAGCAAAGAAGACGACCATATATCCAAAGAAAGGCAGAAATGTTAAAGGGCTAATCCCGGTATTTTTTGGGAGAATAAAACTGCCTAATTTTTTGGTTAAAATCCCTTTAATTCCTCTATCTAAGGGACGAGCAACTAACTCAATATTTTTGATAAGTTTTCAAACAACTTAAACCCGTCAGTCTTCATCTAGAAATGGAGACCGGTGTCCCAAGCTGTATTATGCGGTGTCTGGATAAAACTCAACTTTTATTTTATAAAAATAATGTGTAGGTGAAATTTGCCTTTCGTTATCAAGTAGAGCACATGGGCCATTCACTATATAGACCACTCAAGGAACGGGAATCGATTATCAGGTCACCCAACGAAAAAACCTGACACAAATTCTTAAAAGGGTTACGTGTCCAGATAAGCAGTTTTGACGTTCATGTCCAAACGACTCAATATTTTGAGCTAGAATTTTGAGAGAAGGTAAATACACCATTCCTCTATATTTTGGCGCTTAAATTTCATACGTACACCGACTTTTATTTTTGAGACTCTCTTGAAATCGGGATAGTCCCTTTAAAATGCCGATAGCGATGAAGTGACCGTTACTTGGGGTGATATTTCTTTTTAAAAGTTATATTTACATTTATTTTGATCATGCTGCCAACGTGAGGGACTATATTTGTGTTCTATTTTTAAAAAAAAATAATTTGGGGATACTTGTTCACGTTATTTTACCATTATGACAGAGAAAACTCATAATTTTAGTGGAACTGACTTTTCAATGTTATTTATAGTAATATAATTTCTACTTTGTAAAATTGAATTTTATATCATTGGAAAGAACACGACAATCTGTACATTTTTGTAACAGGGTATTTCTATGTATAGAAAATATTTTTTTAGTTATTTGCAATTTTGTAGAGGGTATTAGGATTAACAATAATCCACTAATTGGCTTAGGAAATGGGCCCTGCTGATTTAATTAGCTTAGGAGTAGGGTAGCTAATCTTTTAATTGGCTCAGGGTTAAATGGGTTAACAGAATGTAATTATTCATATGGGTATTTCCCTCAATGACGTTTGAGTAAACTGGTGGTTACATATAACATTAGTATTTATAATAGTAACCATATAAGGCCACCCCTCACTCTTATGTCTTTACTTTGGATGGTTCTCTATATGGATGGGGTGCTCACTCCAATGATATTCACGCCTATGGGCTTTGGAATAGTTCAGAATCTCAATAAATTATCTTGAACTGCTGACAGTTTTCTATGGATTTAGATCATTGTGTAGCAATTTATTTTTTTGAAATAAGCAAACAAATTTGGTACTGGTGTGCTTCTAGAAATATTTATTTACCGGTATCTGCTAAATATATAAGTATACCTTATAGCAAAGCCGATGCATTATCTTCAGATGTTAGGAAGTCTTCTCAACTTCTTGTATCTCATCTTACACTCATTCAATTCGTTCAATTTCCACATCTGCATCTTTTAATTCTGGTTGCTCTAATACAATCTTAAAACAGCATCATGGAACAACTATAAGTTTTTTACAAGTTCTACAATAGATCTACAGAAAATAATGCAATTTTTTTAATTATAGGGATAAATCTTAACAGCTTATTTGTTTTCTCTCAACCATGGCGCGATGGATGAGAAGGATTATATGAATATATATGGCTCGAGGATTTACATACCCTCCCTTTAAGCGCCCCCCCCCCTTCCCCAGCGCTATATATGGTTGCTAACAAAACTTTAAAAAGGCAACTAGTGCCGAATCTTACCTCTTATTTATAGTCAGGCGGATGTTGATACACTACTGCACATGTAATTGTGTTATTTTTAGACATTAAATGTTGAGTTAGTATACATATTTATTTAGGTCACTGAGAAATATGCAATATAAATCCTCGAGCCCTCGGGCTATATATATTCATATAATCCTTCTCATCCATCGAGCTCATGGGCGCTCGGATCAGAGGGAAATTTTTAGATGAACATATACTGGGTTCAATTGGCTCAAAAATACAAGTATTCATATGTTTCTTACGTAGTACTACCGACAATCTCGGGATAGGCCAAAATTTGGGTCTATATATATTACTTTGTACGTCCTGGAACACTACAAAATCCAGAAAATATACAGTTGCACCAAATTTATTTTGGTTTATGGCCAAGTAGTGTGCAAACCCCGCCACTCACCTGCAATCTGATTGCAGATTCGTAATATACACTAAAGGTTCTATAAGACTGAAAAATTTGAGCCCTACACCTTCTCTAGAAAGGTCAAAACAAGATTCTGAAAATCGGGAAAATTATTGATATATATTTTGTTTCGAAAACTTATTTGTAATTCATAAAACTCAAATGCCCGTATCTCAGTCAATTTTCAAGCTACAGCCCACAAATTTTGCACAGTTTCTACTCTTACAAAAACATATATTGTTTTCCATATTTTTCCAATAGGATCGACTTCCCATCCCTGGTCCACTTGGCATGGAATGACCCATGAATTCAAAACTGTGCTGTCTGAATTGTAATTAAAACAGATTTGTGCTGACCAATTACATCTGTGTTGAAATCACTGCACTGGCTTGGTGTCTCGGGCAAGAACCAAATTCAGACTTCTTTCTGTAACTTATTGAAAAATGGAACTGCAATCCATTCCAACTCTGAGCCAATTCAAATCCCATCTGTTCAGACTCTATGATGAGATATCAACATGTACTGTGCTATACAAACCACTCTATGGATCAATTGAAAATAGAGTAAACAATAAAGTGGGGAACCCCTTGGGACTACATCTTATCGTTAATGCCATCAGGTGCGAATGTTCTTAAAGTGTGAATCCATTTGAATTCATTGGCTTCCTTACGGCATCGTTTTTGCCGTTATCTGGGTCAGTCTTAAAAAGCTCTATAATTTTAATCATAACATTTCTACTTGTATGTTTATCTAAGTTGAAGTGTAGTGCGACCGGCTTTGGCCTGTTGTGTCTAATAGCTGCATAGTGTTCCTTTATTCGTTTTGAAAAGACACGTTTGCTTTCTCCTAACGTACGTATTGTTTTTTGGAGGAGCATGTTAATAGGTAGACTATATTTCTACTTATTGAAAATAGTCCTTTCTGATTCTGATTAAAATAGTAACTGTATTGAATTTACAGATATCTTTTGTATTAAATTATTATTCCACCTTATCTATGTAGAGTTTTTTTTATGTAGAACCACCAAAGCCACCGGGCAAGATGGAAAGTAATAACATACCTATTATAGTTGGAAGTGTTGTTGTTGTATTGCTGGTAATTGGTATTATTGTTGTGGTGATATACTGTAGAAAGGGTAAGTTATAGAAGTGTTATTGGTGTGATGATATACCGTAGAAAGGGTAAGTTATAGTAGTATTATTGGTATATTGATGGTATTATAACTGTTATTGTTGTGGTTATATACCGTAGAAAGGGTAAGTTATAGAAGTGTTATTGATATATTGATGGTATTATAACTGTTATTGTTGTGGTGATATAATGTAGAAAGGGTACGTTATAGTAGTATTATTGGTATATTGATGGTATTATAACTGTTATTGTTGTGGTGATATAATGTAGAAAGGGTAAGTTATAGTAGTATTATTGATATATTGATGGTATTATAACTGTTATTGTTGTGGTGATATACTGTAGAAAGGGTAAGTTATAGAAGTATTATTGGTATATTGATGGTATTATAACTGTTATTGTTGTGGTGATATACTGTAGAAAGGGTAAGTTATTGAAGTATTATTGATATATTGATGGTATTATAACTGTTATTGTTGTGGTGATATAATGTAGAAAGGGTACGTTATAGTAGTATTATTGGTATATTGATGGTATTATAACTGTTATTGTTGTGGTGATATAATGTAGAAAGGGTAAGTTATAGAAGTATTATTGGTATATTGATGGTATTATAACTGTTATTGTTGTGGTGATATACTGTAGAAAGGGTAAGTTATAGAAGTGTTATTGGTGATTATTGTAATTATAACTGTTATTAGTGTGGTATACCGTAGAAAGGGTACGTTATAGAAGTATTATTGGTATATTGATGGTATTATAACTGTTATTGTTGTGGTGATATACTGTAGAAAGGGTAAGTTATAGAAGTGTTATTGGTGATTATTGTAATTATAACTGTTATTAGTGTGGTATACTGTAGAAAGGGTACGTTATAGTAGTATTGTTGATATATTGCTGGTATTATAACTGTTATTGTTGTGGTGATATACTGTAGAAAGGGTAAGTTATAGTAGTATTATTGGTATATTGATGGTATTATAACTGTTATTGTTGTGGTGATATAATGTAGAAAGGGTAAGTTATAGTAGTATTATTGATATATTGATGGTATTATAACTGTTATTGTTGTGGTGATATACTGTAGAAAGGGTACGTTATAGTAGTATTATTGATATATTGATGGTATTATAACTGTTATTGTTGTGGTGATATACTGTAGAAAGGGTACGTTATAGTAGTATTATTGATATATTGCTGGCTACTAGTGAGAGCCAGAACAAAATTTAAAATTCTCGTCAACACCTACAAATCAGTAATAACCAAAACAGCTCCTAATTATATGGTGGAAATGTTTAATGTTTACACCACTGGCCGAACTAATCTTCGTTCAGGACGTGACAAAACCCTACTTGCTGTTCCACGCTTTCAGGGCCAGGTGGGTGAGTTTTCATTTTCCGTTAGGGGTGCCAAACTTTGGAATGAACTACCCAGAAACATCAGAGAGTGTACCCAACTATCTCAGTTTAAATCTAAACTGAAGACTCATCTGTTTAATAACTCATATAAATAGAATCATGTGCCTACCATTGTACAGTGTAGATATGACTGTACAGCGCTTAGAAATAACTATTGTTATAATGTAGCGCTTTAAAAATAAAATTATAATAATAATAATAATTATAACTGAAGAGCCCCGGGGAAGAACGCTCTAATTCACTCTTTCAACGAACCCCAGTTTATGGCGCCATCTGGTCGCAAATTGTATAAGCTTTCTGTGGCACAATCGATTTCAGGTAAAAACGATTGGAGTCACATCGAACCAAGGCCTTTCTGAAATGGCCTCTCGGACAAATACGTCCATCGTACCCTTTATGTGACCTTGGTTGAAATGTGGACGTCAGTTGTTGTACTGGTAATTATGATTCGTATTAAACATCATTTTGAAGTTGTAATTAAACCCACTCATTGTTCTGTTCGCGTCAAGCATTCTCGTCCAAAAGGTTTTTTTGCCTATTATGCGAAAAGACGAAAATGTGACTTAGATCGTTTTTCCCCGGGGCTCTTCAACTGTTATTGGTGTGGTAATATACCGTAGAAAGGGTAAGTTATACAAGTTACACACTTAATTTATTTTCATAATATGAACTCTTTGAATAACTAGAAAATTCAATATACAGTTGAGTAATTCAGTTTAGGAAATTTATATTTAAAAAATGCTTTACATCAGTCATATAAAAGTTAAATTCAAGAACCCCTTTCTATTTATGAGATATCATATTTGGTGTCCTAGAAAAAAAATTAAGCCTTTTGCATGATATCAAGCAAGACTGTTTATCATTGATTGTTTTGTTTTTCACACAGCAAAAAAAGACAGTTCCCAAGATAATGTGTAAGTATATTTATAGGTTTTAGAGTAAATCTAATCTGTCACAGTTCTGTGATTCCCTTTTTATTGGGTACAGAACTGAAACAATGTGAGGAGTGTGAATCAAAACGGAGATGTGACAAGTACTAATTTTATTTACCTCATGTTTGTCCCAAAATATCATAATTGTGCAAAGTGGATGCAACTCAATAGTTATATATATTTTTTTGTAAATTCACCTATGTCTCAGACATATTGTCATTCAGTTAAAGTTATAAAGTGATAATTACAGTCCCAAATATTGTCCATCAGTGACTGATTATTAGTTTTTATCCTTGGTCTTTATTTCTTGCTTGAATACAGTGGTACCAAAATTATTAAACACTGAAGAGGCACTCTCATCCAGAAAATAGATGTTATTAATTTTGAATAATATTATATTCACGATAACCTTAGATTCACCTTATTATAGAATAAACAAGAAATGACCAGTGATGATCTATTCAGAGTAATTTTAGGAGTTAAATATACTTCTGGACAACCTCTAAAAAAGTTTTATATCTCCGTAAGGACTTGAAAAATTTCTCTAAAATTCTTCACACAAGAGTTGGAGACTTTCCCAGCGATAATGACTCTTTAAATAATAGATAAATATTATTTTATTTGTTTCATGCTTGCTTGTTTCGCTTTTTTTTTCGTTTTATTATGTTTTAATTATTTTCAGTCATTTATCAAACAAAGAGAAGAAAAAGAATGAGCTTGGTAATGAATATATTTTATTATTTCCCATATTTTTGTTATTCAGTGTATGTAGATGATAAGATGTCTTTATTGTGTACAATTTAACGGGTTTAACCAGTATTTTAAAACCAGAAATAATGATTCACTTATTTATCATCTGATTTGAAATTTTTGTTTGTGTATTTGTACAAGGGTTATGAAATAAACAGATGGGCAAATCCAAATCATTGTATGATAAACTGTAAAAAAAAGAAACAATTCTTGCAAAATTAATTTCTGATTTAAATTACCGTACATGCTCTATATGTAATTATGGGTGCAGGCTGTTTCTTAACCTGGCTGTTTCGTACTTAGTTCATTCGTACCTCACTTCGTAACTCAAATTGATTCGTACCTTTTCCTATGCTGTTGAAATCAGTTGAAAGAAATTGAATATGCCGAACCAGAATTAGAAAATGCACGAGATTTGTACCTCAAATTGATTAGTTCCATCTCCTAAATCCAACGGCTGCGCTTAATTTATAAAAGTGGCTGCCGAACCAGAATTAGAATACACATGTGATTTGTACCTCAAATTGATTCGTACCATTTCCTATAATATGTTGTTGAAATAAATTGAAAGAAATTAAAAGAAATCTTTATGTTGTTAAAAGAAATTGAAATAATAAACTATAGTCTGGTGTTGACTATCGAACCCAATCTGCCCAGTGAGTTGTGATTATTGACGACAATTGATTGGTGATTGTTAAAGCAGTTTAAAAAACGGTTGAAAAAGTATTTAATCTGGTGTTGATTATTGAACCCATTCTGCTGGGTTGTGATTGTTGTGATTTGTGATTATTGACGATAATTGATAGGTGTTTGTTAAAGCGGTTAAAAACGATTGAATGTACTAAGAATGTGACACGCAATGTATTATTCATTACATAATAAACCTTAAATCAATTTAACTCACTGTAAGGTGGAACTGCATGCTTTCTGTTATAGTTGGGTTATTTGAGCCTAAAAATATCATGGACCGTATAATTATACGGTTATATCACGGGGTAATTCTGTTATTGAAACCCAACTGCATGAAAATGGCTTTCAGATTTATTTTAACAATTTCTTAACAAGAACACGATAGAGATTAGATTTCTTGATGAATGCTAGATCCTTATTCAATTTATTAAACAACCAAGTTTTCCTTTCGAATAATCTGCTGTTGAGGCATAGATGCTGTGTGGGCGTATCTCCACACTTTGCGTGGCTATCGTTCAAATTTCTTTTGAATCATTAGTGTCATAAGCAGAGGAACCCTATTTATTTTCGGCCGAACAACGAACCATATTGATTTGCAGCGCTCCCTGCCTTTTTGTTATGGCGTTATTCCTATTTTCCGGTAAACCTTGTGAACGGGTTAGAGCCCAGAGTTTTTCAAGATTTTTGATTTAAAATCTGCTCCGAAGCATTTGTGCCACAAGACAATAAACACTGTGTCTAGCTTTATTCTAAAACAAAATATGGTCTAAAACCCTGCAAAAAATGACAAAGCTAACGTGGTAGGGTTTTGAATTTCATATTTGTTGTGAAGTATTTTGGCCATAAGACGATGAACTCTATCGATTTTAATCATATTTCAAATTTAATGTAAATCATGGGTACCCTATCGATTTTCCGTTTATTCTTTCATTAGTTAGCAGTTTTCCTTTGTAACAAATGTTAGAGTATTTTTTTTTATATCAAATTTGGTGCGAAGTATTGGGCCAATGGTTGTTTCACAACGTGGAGACACTATCTAGGTCCATTTAAGGTTTCATATTAACTCGGGATCTCGAGAAAATTTACACAGGATGTCAATATCTCGAGAACATTAACTCGAATTCTCGAGAAAATTTAGACTGGATGTCAATATCTCGAGAACATTAACTCAAATTCTCGAGAAAATTTACACAGGATGTCAATATCTCAGGAAAATTATCAGGGGATTTCGAGAACATTAAATTGAGATCTCGAGAAAATTACCAGGTGATCACGGGATTTCGAGAAAGTATCACAGGATCGCAGGATCTCGAGACCTTCTACAAAATTTTGCATGACCCCAATACGCTACCGTAGTTTAGAGAAAAAAAAATCGGAATTTTTTTTTTGGGGGGGGGGGGCTGCCGAGACTTACTGAAAATCAACGGAATGAAGCCATGGTAAGGTCCAAGGCTGGCATGTTTACACGTGCTATTGCCAGACACTTCAATCGTCATCAGTCCACTATTGTAAGGTTGGTGGAACGTGTTCGAGTTACTGGATCAACACTTGACCGTCAACGTCCTGGTCCACAACGCGTTACAACCCAGGCTCAAGACCGCTACATCCGAGCCACTCATCTGCGTGACAGATTCCGCCCAGCGACTCGAACAGGTGCAGCAGTCGTCGGAAGACAAGGACCAGTAAGTGCCAACACCGTAAAACGTTCTCTAAGAGAAGTAGGAGTCCGTGCACAACGACCTTATGTTGGAGCTATCCTCAGGGATCATCACCGTCAGCGGCGTTTGATATGAGCTCAAGGGCACCAGACATGGAGAAGAGTAGACTGGCAAAGTGTGCTCTTCAGTGAGTCGCTTTCATCTTTATCATGCTGATGGCCGTCAACGTGTGTGGAGACGTCTTGGGGAACGTTTTGCAGACTGCTGCGTCTTCGACACAAATCGATGGGGTGGGGGAAGTGTAATGGTGTGGGGAAGCTTCACATTTCATCACCGGACCGCCCTACACATTTGCAGGGGTCGCGTTAATGCTGTAGCCTACCTCGATGATGTCTTGCAACCAATTGTTGTTCCGATGTTTCGAGCGCACCCACAACTTCAGCACTTCCAACAGGATAATGCACGTCCGCATACCGCCCGTTTTAGTATGGACTACCTGGCTGCTAACAACATCAATGTCTTGGACTGGCCAGCCATGTCTCCTGACATGGCACCGATAGAACATGTCTGGTATGAGATTGGACGTCGTCTGTATCGGAGACCACAGATCAGATACACACCATTGCTGCTTTAGAAGCTGCTCTTGTCCAAGAATGGAAGAATTTGCCCCAGGCCTTTTTTCAAACACTGGTAAATTCCATGCGACGTCGCTGCACAGCGTGTGTAAGATCCCGTGGAGGACACAAACGCTACTGACATCTGTGTCATACTTTTGGTTTTTGTTGTTATTGATGTGTTCCCATTTGAATATTGTTCACAATAAGAAGCAAAATAAATAAGATATGTTTACAAGATCATTTTGTTATACGTTTTCCATGGCGCTCAGTATATTTCAATTTCTTTCAAACACATTTAGGAAAACAAACTAAATCTCGTGCATATTCTAATTATGGCTCGGCAGCCAATTTCATAATTTTAGCGTAGCCATTGGATTTGATCAAATCGTTTCACCTTTATTTCAATTTCTTTTAACTGATTTCAACAACATAGGAAAAGGTACGAATCAATTTGAGGTACGAAGTGAAGTACGAAAAATGTGAGGTACGAATAAACTAAGTACGAAACAGGCAGGTTACGAAACAGCTGACATCCGTAATATATAATTATTAACATTTCAGTTATCGATGACAATTTAACATATGAGGGCAGCGATCATTTATTTGGACCCCAAAATGGAGCAGGAACTGGAAAAGGTATGTCATGAATTATGATTTTATTCCTTTATTTATTACTAGCAGGATACCCGGCTTCGCTCGGGGGTCATAACTCCGAAACCGGAAGTGGTAGACTAACGCCACCTGGCCTATGTTACTCCCCGGTCCGAGCTTCCCCTATACCACAAATTTCAGACTCGGGGCAGACCTAGTGTAGCCGCCAACCCCGAACAGACAGACAGGCAAACAGACAGACAAACGACAGTCACAAATATTAGTATACTAGCAGGATACCCGGCTTCGCTCGGGGGTCATAACTCCGAAACCGGAAGTGGTAGACTAACGCAACCTGGCCTATGTTACTCCCCGGTCTGGGCTATCCCTATACCCCAAATTTCAGACTCGTGGCAGACCTAGTGTAGCCGCCAACCCCGAACAGACCGGCTTCGCTCGGGGGTCATAACTCCGAAACCGGAAGTGGTAGACTAACGCCACCTGGCCTATGTTACTCCCCGGTCCGAGCTACCCCTATACCCCAAATTTCAGACCCGAGGCAGACCTAGTGTAGCCGCCAACCCCGAACAGACAGATACCCGGCTTCGCTCGGGGGTCATAACTCCGGAAGTGGTAGACAAATGCCACCTGGTCTATGTTACTCCCCGGTCCGAGCTACCCCAATACCCCAAATTTCAGACTCGGGGCAGACCTAGTGTAGCCGCCAACCCCGAACAGACCGGCTTCGATCGGGGGGTCATAACTCCGAAACCGAAGTGGTAGACTAACGCCACCTGGCCTATGTTACTCCCCGGTCCGAGCTACCCCTATACCCGAAATTTCAGACTCGGGGCAGACCTAGTGTAGCCGCCAACCTCGAACAGACAGACAGACAGACAGACAAACGACAGTCACAAATATATATATAGATTAGTAGTATTAGGGGTTTCATTTTTTTACTGTATGTCATCATCACCTGTTGATGTATAGCATTTCTATACTGTTGAACTATTTATATAATAACAATAACAGAACAAAGATAATTTGACTGATATTTTACATACCAAAAACTACCCACGGTACTTATATCTGATATTCTTGAATTGGTTAATTATATCGTTGATAACAAAGATAACCTTGCTATTCATGTTAGTTATAATATCAATAATTTATTTTTTATTTGTACAGGACAAACAGATAACATGTAAGTTATATATTATTCTTGTTTTATAGTAACGACAGGATAAGAAAACATATCAAAAATAACATCTCACCTTGGTCTATTGTCCTATTATTAAGAAAAAAGTCACTTCGCTAATAACGCAACGTCCATTAAAACTATCATCAACTGTCTTCATTTTAACACAATAATTGTACAAAAGTATACAATATATCAATGTATACTCAACTTGTGAACAATTCTGCTAGTCAATGTTAAAGTATTTCTGAATACGTTGATCATTTCATCATACCACTAGAACCGATACTAATGATTATGTAGTAGAAATGTATTCGCTGAGAGTACCTCAACTATCTTTTTTAATATCAATTGATGTACAGGGTTATTAAACGGACAGATAATGAAGCTTTTGAGCTGTCTAAACCTGATTCAGATATTACTGAACTTTTGGAATTCATCTGAAACAAAATGGTAACAGCCATGGGGAAAAATCATTTTCTCCCAACTAAGCAAAGTTTTTCCTCAGCGAATGTCTCTGTGTCCTTTAAAACATGTTCTATCGTAAATTTATCGTATGACTATACGTTCTGAAACGATTTTGGACGTATTTCGAAATATTAACAGCTATCACCCTTCAATAGAATTAATTGCGAAAAATACTTTGACGACGAGTTTACTTTCACTTAAAAACAATTTCCCGATACATTTGTTTTTAAGTGAAAGTAAACTCGTCATTAAAGTATTTTTAAAGAATAGTATACCCATCAACTCCTTTTTGTAAAGGTAATAACATGACTTAATGAATAAGATGATGTTATTTTCACCTGATGGCCTATACCTTTAATTCGGCAAGAAGTGGCGTGTAACTTGACAAGATTCAAATTACTATAAGAAACAAAATATTTTGGTGAAAAACCCTTAATATGATGAGTGTCTAAAGTCAGGGTACATTTTGTAACAAAACAAATGGCTTTTTTCTGCCCCCAAAACTGCCCCTGCCCGTTAAAGATACATTATAACAGTTCAAAAGTAGATGATGAAAGAAGAATATATTGAAAAATTCAGTCAAATTACTTTATTCTGAACATAGTTATCATCGTTGTAATATTTGACTAGAAATGGTAGCGAAATGCGTCTTCACCTTGGCCGACCGTTTGATTGACAGACGTTAACTCCACCTACATATCTCGATTATCAAGTAAAGTTTTCAATGGCATACGGAAACGCTTTACAGCAGCCTCGCTAAGTACACTCTATCATTTAGCCTCGATCTAACTGACGTATTTTCATCAGGTTGCCCCATACTTGATTTAATCAATTAGTGAAATCCTATTTAAATCCGAGCTGTAGTCGAGCCATCCGTGGGTCTACAGAGTTGATTTTGGGCTTGTTGTTTAAATAAAGATCTATTTTATAATTTCTATAACATCTGAAGCCTAAATTAAGACTTGCAATAATCAGATTTAGCTCTTGCATGATGCATGTTTAAAGAAGCTGTTTAATGATAAGCCATCAATCAATGGCTATTAATACCTTGATGAGTTACATTGAATTATTTTTTATTATATTTTAGTCCCATGTCATCTAACGTAAAGACAGGAAATGATAATAAAATGGGTAATGTACTTCTTTACTGTGTTCGAATCTTTTCTTTTTAAATCAGTTGTATTTGTGCGGAAAAAATATTTCAATCTCGAATGTTTTAAAGTTTTGTTTTCTCAGTGGAGTGTGGCAAGTAAAAGATAAATCAGGTTTTACATAAACAGTACCTCTACTCCCCCACTACCCAACCATCCACTTAACCCCTGACATTCACCCCTCAATACCCAACCACCCACTCCATCCATCCCTACCGTTCTTCTTTTATTCACTGTTATTACAATGTTTTATTTTATATTTTATGTTTATCAGTTATCGATGATAATCTCTTGTATGAAGGAAGTGATCATATTTTTGGATCTCAAAATGGAACTGAATCTGGAAAAAGTAAGTATCATAAATCATTTGTCTGTTGTGTTAAAAACTACAATTTATCATCTCCCTGTCTTCAATTCGTCTTGGGTCTGGTACAGACGTATTAGATCTAGTGGCAGGGATAGTATGGCTGGTAAAAACAATTCAACATGGAAGATACACTTCTTTTCATCTTGAATATTTCCTGTTAAAAAATATTAATAATATTTAAATCTTGAGAGATGTATCATAAAAACGTCGAAATTCATGCATACAATCATCAGCCACACTGCCGATTTTCTCGCCAAAGTATACACATCTGAAAGATGATGAAGAAAATGCTTGTAGAATAGTAAATGGAGATATTAAATAAGAGTTTGACGATGATGCTGTAAGAAACAAAATAACTATTATTACCAATATTCATAGTTTGTGAGTAGATACTATAATACAGATTATTATTAGAGATTAGGCTGGAAGGAGACACTTCGAGCTGTGGAACAAAATCCGAACCAATGATTTTTGTAAGGAGGTATGTACAAAGTATCCCAAGAAAAAAATCCACTGCAATCTGCCTTGGGCGTGACTAAGTCGACAACATCGTAGGAGACGAACCTATTTGATGTTATTACAAAAGTCTTTGGAGTTAAGTGAGAATAAAAATTTGAAAGGTTTTGGGCTGTTTTGTAGAAGACAGGGTCTAGAGAGCACACATATATGCATGTAACCTGGTTTTGGGTGGATTTTGATGGCGGCAGACGTGTCTCGGGTCTTTGGTTTGATGAGTAGAAATGGGGTCTTTCGTTACCCGTATGTAGTTTATTGTTCTTGAAGAGTGTTGGCAATGCTGACGCAGTCAGGTGTATCCATTATTATAGCTACTGAAAATACATGGGAGTGGCCATTTATGATTCTATGGAATATGTTGATTGTTTTCAGGTACATTTTATACTTTGGTCATGTGGTAATGTACATTAGCTTTTTGGGAGGAGTAATTAGATTTCTGACTGGGATACCCTACTATTGAAAAGGTCTGGCCATTGTCATTCTTATGCTGAGTATTTTGCAACAAGTTTCGTGTGATAAGAAAATGTGCTCATCTGACTTTGGTGTGGGGAAATAGGAACGTCTGGATGGGACATCAGGAAGTTTGCCCAATACTACCAAACATAATTGAAGTATTATGTTAGTTTCCCACAATAACGAGGTAGTATTTAGATAGTATTGGGTAGTAGTGTGTAAATCGCCCAGCCCAGTGGGGATACCCCACCACTGAAAATGTCTAGAGGTGGTCTTTGTTAATACATGTGAATTTGCTGAACATTTTTCAACATGTTTTGAGTGGTTAGTAAATGAGCTGGTGGGGTAGGGCGATTAGGGACGATGCTGAACATTATGCAACAAATTTCATGCAGTTGGTAAATGTGCTGTTCTAGCTTAGCTTTGTGGATGGGGCAGGGGCATTTATGGGTGTCTTTACAATTAGAATTTCCCAACATGCGAATTTACTGATTTTGTCAATCAGTCTAATAGCGGAAATGCATTTGTGATGCACAAACATATTCTCAGCATGCCGAAAAAGTGACGAAAATTTTTGGATTTTATAAGTCGATTAGGTACGAAAACCAGAACGCCTGTCCAAGGCCAATTTTAGTGGATTTTTATCTGTAGTTGTACTCATATAGACCTTTCATAAAAACAAGAATCATTTGTTTCGGATTTTTCCCCCAGCTCACCAAATCCAAAGTTCTCTTACCAGCCTAAGACCCGCTAATCTTTCTTTATATAGATGTAGAAAGAGGAATATTTGGTCAAACAACTTCATCTGAAGTTAAAAGAAACAGCACTACAGGTGGCAAATCAAAGAAAAGTAAAAAACCTCCAAAGAAACCAGGTAGGGTAGTTTATTTTACATCAGTTCAACATTAATTAAATATATCTATGCTGTTTCAGTTATAATTCTTATTGCTATTCTGACAGTATCTATTCTATCAGGATAACTCAGTAATAGCTTTACTGTAGACAGTAATACTGCTATTCTAACAGTATCAAGATAACCCAATAATAGTTTTACTGTAGGCTACTGCTAGTATTCGCAGGTATACACATTATTTGATATATAAATGTTTTATCAGATCCTGAAGCTATCTACACAGAGGTTATTAAGAAAAAGACTGGTCAAGATAATAAAACTGCTAGTGCGGAGAGAGGTAGACCAGTAAAAAATTCATATTATGCATGTTTTCTGTTTTGTTCAAATATTACACATATTCATATATCTTCTCATAAATATAGGCAACACATTCTAGTTTAAATTCTATAGTGTTTAGTCAAGGTCTACCTTCCAAATATCTATCAGTGTTCGCACACTTTGTTCCCAATTCTTTTTAACACTAATTATGGCCAAGGGTCGTTTGTATTTTGGAATGGTGATTATGCTCCTTTGTTTTTTTTGTTTGATAATCTTTAATTGTTGCAAAGTTTCCTACATTTTCTATTTGTTTTTTGTCATTCAGTAGTCCTTATAGAGCACAACATTATTCATGTGAATAAAGTTTGCAGAGGTTTAATTTGCATGAGCCATTACTCTTTATCTGTACTTGACTCTTCCACCTCTAGTCTATCCTATTTTAAATCCTTATATATTAAGGAGGCAGTGTGTTACTGACCACTTGGTGTCCCTCAGTGCTTCCAACTTTTTTTTGTTATCTCTGTACTTTTTATCAATAATCTTGTAACTGCAGTAGCTTTTGTTAATTTTAACTTTGTAGAATCTTGTGAATATTCTACCGATAAACTCATGTTGTGATCTGCTTAAAATTTAGATACACTGTTTAAAATGGTGACATGAAAAATATGTATAGAGTTTCAACAATTTCTGTTAAATTATATCTGACCTATCTGTGTGGATTTCTTTTTTATATTTAAAAAGGCTCAATTTGTGGATATTTTATTAGGGTGCATCTGAAAGCAATTCTAACATAGCCTACTAATAAGTAAGATGTGATAATGGACATAAAGTAACATTTTGTTCAAGGTTATAATATGGAAGCTGATGTTTGTGTCTATTGTAGTAATATAGATTATATTCTTTGAACTGTTAATTTATCAAATATTTTTCTTAGGAAATTATGAAAACTCTGATGTCAAAGCGAAACCAACTACTCCAAAGGTAAGTTAGCTTCTTTGTTGTACAAAGATAAAAAATGGTGACGTAATTATACATGTGCCTGAAAGTCACTGAAGTCAGAAACATATGTCTGGATGTCAACAGTTTAAAGGACAATATTGGTGTCAGCCATTATTATATATTTGACAGAACTGGTTAAACAGATTCCAATTATAATTTCAACACAGAAACCATTGCAACGGTAGGTGTGTAACGAACATTTGAAGAAATAGGAAGTGACGCGAAAAGCGACAAACACAAGTTATCCTTCTATATAACTGACTGAAGTAACGAGACTGTGGGAGAATATCTGACAATTCAAAAAAAATAATTGGCTGTCACTAGATAAGAGAAAATGAGAAAAATAGAAAAGGCCCATGCATTCCCTTGCTTTTTTTTATTCATTCTATACTTAATAAAAACACGGTAATGCAAGGACTTTTTCTAATTTGTTTGTTTTCTCTAACCTAGTGACAGTCAATTTTTTTTATAAATTGTCAAATCATATATCAACTTTTCGTCTTCAACGGGATTATCAGTGAAATGAAATTCGCTTGCGTGTCTGTTATGGCTCGTTACTTCAGTCAGTTATATAGAAGGATAACTCGTGTTTGTCACTTTTTGCTTCACTTTCCGTTTTTTCATATGTTCGTTACACATCTACCGTAACAATGATCTCTGTGTTAAAATTATCTTTGGAATGGGTTCAACAAGTTCTTTCGGATATGTAATGATGGTTGACTCCAATATTGTCTTTTAATACTGTGTCTGTTATTATGTATCAGTATCAGTATCGCCACATATTATCACGAAAATCAGACTAAATAATATTCTCTCAAAGTAGTGATATCACAGACAAGTTAGTGTTAGACAGTCATAACCCCTGTTAAATAGCTGCTTCCAATAGTAATACAAGGATGGGCCAGACAGTCATAACCCATGTTATATACACGGTAACATGCATAGTGTGTAGAACCTATCTCTAAGTATTGACTAACTGGCCTATGGGTTAGAATATCTATATATGAAGTAGAAAGGGTTCATTGTGGTTACTATTCATGGAAATTCGTGAGAAATATACTTGTTTTGTCAGTAGTCGCTTAAACCCGTCAGTATTTGTACCGTACGTCAGTATTCCTATAAATGGTCAGTAATAATCATAAGGTGAGTATTTAAGTCAATTGGTTAGTATTCCTTACTTGTGTCAGTATGTAAAAATAACGTGAGTAATTAAACAAACGTGAGTTAAGCCGACCATATCACTAGTCAGGCGCGTGCGGGAGAAATAGACAAAAGCGTGACTAATTAAGAAACCGTCACTATTTGACCTCTTGGTCACTATCAGAGTGAAACTGCCAGTTATCTTTGATGTGCGTCAGTAACTGGATCCGACGCCAGTAGAGCGTGAAATCGTTAACTATATAAATTTTTGTTAAGTATTGTTAGTGAGTATCGTCGCTACATGCTGAATAAATTATTAATTAATTATTTACTAATATTCTCGAATCGGGAAATGTTTTTAAACAATAATGGATGACAGTCAACAATAGGAATGTTTTTAAACAATAATGGATGACAGTCAACAATAGGAATATTTGTCGGTGATTTCTGCAGAATACGGCGCAATGTGTAGTGTTATTTAATTTACAATTTATATTTATTCTCGTTATATAACATGCGGATTGGCACATGTTTTGGGACTTGCGGCACTTTGATATCTGTATGGATTAAATTTGGAATCACTGTATGCATTAAATTTGGAATCACTGTATGGATCAAATTTGGAATCACTGTATGGATTAAATTTGGAATCACTGTATGGATTAATTTTGGAATCAATGTATGGATTAAATTTGGAATCACAACTAATGGTTAAAAAAAAAGATCAACACAAATCTGTTTTCACTAATTTTATTTAAACAGATAATATACTATTCAAAAAAAGTAGGGGATATTTGATTTTTAAGTGTTATTAAAGTCACCTAATGAAACTGACGATGAAACAAATGACAAAATGAAATGAAGTTCACATTCATCGATTTATTCCAAATGATCTTAGACTAAGTAAGGCACAGACTGACCATTATAAGGGTAAAATGATACCCGGGTTCAAACAGCAAAGTTACCACAGCATCACAACCAAGTCAGTAACGGGTAAATCCTCCTAATGAGACGTCTAAGGTCATTTTGGTCCAGATTGTCCCATTCCTGTTGCAACGCAGCAGCAAGTTCTTGGACATTGGCAGGACGTTGTTGACATTGACGTAACCTCTGTCCAAGCATGTCCCAGACATGCTCGATGGGGGAGAGGTCGGGACTCAGTGCTGGCCAAGGTAATGTGGTGATGTTCTGTTGTTGGAGGTAACCTGTAACGATCCTGGCCCTGTGACATCTTGCGTTGTCATCCTGGAAGATGAAACGGCGGCCATGACGTCGTGCGAACGGCACAACATGGACTGCCAAGATGTTATCCCGGTAGTACTGGCCTGTAACACGCCCTGCAACAACATGTAAAGCCGTTCTTCCAGCAACAGTGATGCCTCCCCACACCATAACAGAACCACCCCCAAATCGATCATGTCTGATGACGTTAACGTCTTGGAAGCGCTCGTTTCGACGACGCCACACCCTCCTACGTCTGTCCAAAAAATCAACAGTGAACCTTGACTCATCTGAAAACATCACATTGCTCCAGCGTCGATTATCCCAGTGTTGACGATCCCTACACCAACGACGTCTTGCCTGAATGTGATGATCTCTCAAACAAGGGATCACGCGAGGACGTCGGGCGCGAAGGTGACCCCTATGCAGTCGATTCCGAATCGTCTGGCCACTCACTCTCACACCAGTGTCTGTTTGAAGACGAGCGCTGATCTGATTTGCTGTGATGACACGATTTCTCAAGGCCAAGGTACGGATAAATCGATCCTGGGCTTGAGTTGTCGCCCTTGGTCGACCTGAGTGTGGTCTGTCCTGTACAGATTGTGTATCACGGTATCTGGACCATAGCCTGCTTATGACAGACTGAGAAACATTCATCGTCCGCGCCACAACCGCCTGTGTTGTGCCGATCTGTAGCATGCCAAGGGCACGTAACCTTTCATTTTGGGTAAGCCGACGCATATCAAAATTTGTTTTCTGGTCACTAAAACAATTAAACTGATGTTTCCACCCTGGAATTCAATGCCACAATGACTGTAACATTCAAAGTCAGAGTCGTGCAAATCTTGGGTTGGACCCCCATGATGATCCCAAGCATCACCTGCATTCCATGCGGTAGCTATTGGTGCGTTTGGGCGTCACATGTAACTGGAAATGTTTCTTCTGTTAGGTTCTATAGTGACTTTTTTCGTAGTCATTTCCATATTTTAGTATTATGCCCCCAAAATCAAATATCCCCTACTTTTTTTGAATAGTATATGATAGCAGATAACAGAAATAATGAATTTCATATACGTACATACAAGCTGAAATTCTGATCACTGAACAATCGTGTGAATATCTATATACATTATTAATGGTATCTTCAGATTTGCAACATATTACAAACCGATTCCTGTTTTTTTAAAAAAAAACCCATATAATTCAAATGTCAACCCGACCATTTCAAGAATAATTGTCCGTGTCAAGGCGACTGCAGTTCGATTGCTTTATTTAAAAAGATAACTGATATTAAACTATACAACTGACTGAGCTATTCAGGGTTCATATTGGAAATATTTTGGTGTCAAGGCAACTGGAGTTCGGTTGCTTTATTTAAAAAGATAACTAATATTAAACTATAAAATTGACTGAGCTATATCCGTTTGAGGTTGTTTGAGCAAAAGCAAGTTAAAGATATCGTTATGTTCTAAAAAAAAATCACATAGCAACCACGCCATATAATTGTTAATTTTTGTTTAATATTTCTCTCGGTGTTATAATTTAGAACAAAAGAGAATAGTCCATACATTAGTAATGTAGGTCTTGTATATTAAACTTTTATGGGAATAAATTTTTTTAATCTCACCACTTAATTAGCACCTTGGTGTTAGATCAGGAGATTAAGAATGTTGATTGGGTAATCGAGTTTAGCTTCTTGATTATCAAAGAAGCCGTCACAGCTAAGCGTATATTCTGTGACCTTAGTAACATGACTCAATTAAAATAAGGTTTTGAGCGTACGATAGGTCTACTTTTATTTTCAGGTACCGGAATGGTATCAGAATCAGAACCCCAGATAGGGTAATGAACGTAACCATGATATCACAATGGTGTCTGGGCCGCACATTTTAAAGTATTGTATGGGTTTTAAAACTCGTTTGTATTCGTTAAAATTGGGATTATCGGTAATTCATAAACTAGAGATTCACGGCTTCACAGCGATGCCAAGTATTACTTAAGGAGACTGATCGGTCGGCCCTCTGCATTATCTATTTTTGTAATATAGTTAGAATGGCCAGCTCTTTATCTAAATCTTAGTATTGAACATGCTTTACGTTTAAATATTCCAGACCCACTGGTTGATGGCTATCTTAAAATTTTGTGGTTTAGTTAACAGGAATAGAGATGAGAAGAACGAGACAGAACAGATACAGGTAGACGAGGAGAAAAAAAAGCTTTTGACAGAGCGCGGCCATTGCTCGGATGATGGTAATCTTTACGAGGAAAAGATTGTCACAACAATGAAAACGCAAGAAATGAAATGAGGCTTAATGTCCTGGGCTTATGAAGACTGCCATATGCCACACAGTGTGGCGGTACTATGGCCTACTCTTATATTGAATTCTAACTACCAATTGACCTTTTACGTGCACGCCAATGTATGCACAGGATCTTGTTTTTTTGTCGCACCCGAACGACAAGACAGCCGTCCTTGTCACGCCCTCCGCCCTTCACCACTGATGAGGGGAAACCACGCCGGAAAATCCAGATGAACTTTCTCGGCTTATGCAGGGAGCGAACACGCGACCTCCTTCCTGTCTAGCGAGCCAGCGTCTTTATTTTTATCTTACCCACTTAGCCACCATGGCTCCCCGAAACATACAGGAGCGAATTTACGAACAAGTGTACGTAGAAGTAAAACGGTGATTTGTTTTGATGGAAGAGTTGCAAAATTGATTACAGCTCACAGGAAACTAAAATTTTGTAATGTGGATTTGGTATCGTTTTACTATTATGCAAGAAAAGAAAATATGAATTCAAAGAACTATATCAACCTTCGTTTTTTATCCGCGCCTCTCTTGCACGTGTACCAAGATGATAAATTGTGGAAACTCTCTCTCCCTCTCTGGATAGCTATAACGTGGATGGGTATGCTGTGGCGGTCTTCATTTAATTTTATGAATTGTTTTTATTGAATGGATGATGTTTTCAAAAGGTAATAAAATTAACTGCCAAACGACTCGTTATCCCGTCAGGTTGCACAAACATTGTAGAACATTTGGCAGCTCAATTTGTGAATTTTTGTATTTCAATCTTTAATACTTATTCCTTTAAAGTAAATAAAATAAAGTGCCAAACGAACGATTTGTTACCCCGTCGGGTAGCGCATTCATGCGTAGAACGTTTGGCATTGTATAGTATACCATATAATATGTTATTACTATTTTCATCGTTATAAATACTTTTTAAAAATTGTTATAAAAGCTAACTTCTCAAAGGTAAAAAGATATTCACATGACTATTCTGTGCTCATAATTTCAACCTACATGTTTGTTTCAGTAAAAGCAGTGAAAATATATTTACTTTGTTCTTTCTTAACCATTAGTTGTCATTCCAAATTGAATCCATACAGATATCAAAACATAATAATCAAGAGGCTAAACTCGATTACCCAATCAACATTCTGAATCTCCTGATATAACACCAAGGTGCTAATGAAGTGCTGAGATTAACATTTATTCCCATAAAAGTTTAATATACAAGACCTACATTACTAATGTATGGACTATTCTCTTTCGTTCTAAATTATAACACCGAGAGAAATATTAAACAAAAATTGACTTGCTTTTCCTCAAACAATCTCAAACGGATATAGCTCAGTCAATTTTATAGTTTAATATTAGTTATCTTTTTAAATGAAGCAACCGAGCTGCAGTCGCCTTCACACAGACAATTCTTGAAATGGTCGGGTTAACGTTTGAATTATATGGAGTTTTTTTTAAAAAAAACAGGAATCGGTTTGTAATATGTTGCAAATCTGAAGATACCAATAATAATGTATATAGATATTCACACGATTGTTCAGTGATCAGAATTTCAGCTTGTATGTACGTATATGAAATTCATTATTTCTGTTATCTGCTATCATATCTGTTTAAATAAAATTAGTGAAAACAGATTTTGAAATCGCCGACAAATATTCCTATTGTTGACTGTCATCCATTATTGTTTTTAAAACATTTCCCGATTCGAGAATATTAGTAAATAATTAATTAATAATTTATTCAGAATGTAGCGACGATACTCACTAACAATACTTACCAAAAAATTTATATAGTTAACGATTTCACACTCTACTGGCGTCGGATCCAGTTACTGACGCACATCAAAGATAACTGTCGGTTTCACTCTGATAGTGACCCAGAGGTCAAATAGTGACGGTTTCTTAATTAGTCACGCTTTTGTCTATTTCTCCCGCACGCGCCTGACTAGTGATATGGTCGGCTTAACTCACGTTTGTTTAATTACTCACGTTATTTTTACATACTGACACAAGTAAGGAATACTAACCAATTGACTTAAATACTCACCTTATGATTATTACTGACCATTTATAGGAATACTGACGTACGGTACAAATACTGACGGGTTTAAGCGACTACTGACAGCACGTATATTTCTCACGAATTTCCATGAACAGTAACCACAATGAACCCTTTCTACTTCATATATAGATATTCTAACACATAGGCCAGTTAGTCAATACTTAGAGATAGGTTCTACACACTATGCACCCAGCAGTGATAGATGCTTCCAGTAGTAATTAGAGGTTGTCAGCAGCAGCTGTGTTGTGTGTAGGTAACTCTTCAGGGTTTGAGGATACCTCTATCTATATTCATCAATGTCGTTATATATCAATCACAGTTTATTTATGATTTTCTATTCTTATCCAGAAACCAGCTATCAACAAGGAGGGATTGAATTATGCTGATGTTGTTTTCACGAACAAAACACCAGCTAAAGATGTGAAACCAGTTTATCATGAGGCAGTTGAGTATGCTGGTATACAGACTGGTGTTCGAGGACCAACTCCACCACCTGTTTCTGATAGCAGTGATGATGATGACACACCACCACCTGCAGCACCAGCACCTAAACCAAAGACAAAGCCAATGAAAACTAAGTAGAATTAAATTGAAGAATCTAGATGGATCGCACGATCTACCCAAATCTCTTTCAAATCATGATCTAACCCATTATCTCTTAAATCATAATATACTCCAATCTCTTTCAAATCATGACCTACCCCCAATCTCTTTCAAACCACGATCTACCCCAATCTCTTTCAGATGTTAAACTTTTTGATTGAACATTCTGTACATTACTGAATAGATCCAATAATGACATCAAAAACATGAAACACAATGAAAATCTTTTAGCTCCTTGACTGTCTTCAATCATAAGACAGACAGACTTGATTTAATTTTAGTAAATCTTTCTACCCAGCCATGTCATCTCCATTAATTGATGTGGTATTATAGTTAATCATACTCCCTCAAATCAACAGAGGATTGTTTTTCATTTTCTGTGTAAAACAATTGTCAGTTGAATATCCCCACGTAGATAATTAGGATCTTGATTGTGTAATGTAGAGAACAAGCTATACTGTTCTAAGTTTATATGTTTTTGTTGCTAGATAACTTACATTTATTATCCTTAACTGACTTTTTATTGTTTTAAGAGTCTTTCATAGTTTAACTATTATCTCTGTCTTATTATATAGGCCTCCGAGCAAAGAAGTACACCGGGGGGGGGGGGCTTCATACTAAATCAGAGGCAAATGTCCACGTGTAACACAATAACAGGCATTTATTGTTTAGTATTTGTTGACATCAAGTCACAACGTGAACATATTGGTATGGTATGGTAAAGTATAGTATAGTATAGTATTTATTGACATCAAGTCACTACATACATATATTAGTATAGTATGGTTTAGTATAGTGTACATTTAATGTGGACGTATATTGTTGTCACCGGCATCTATCTACCCCTTGTTCGTAGTCAAATATCTACAATACTTGTCTGGCCCGGGGTTTTGTCAGATACTTAACGATTTTTACATTGATGCTTCATGTGCACCAACTGGGCTAATGAAGGTGGGTATACCATATGATATGAGGGAAATTTTGTCAGGAAAGTCAAGTGGGAGTCAGGAAGAACCTTTATTTTTAGACATGAAATTTTGTAAATGTGATACATGGCATGGCTCATGGTAGAAGTCTTATGTATGTGATACAGCTCCTGGCTAGTGGTAGAAACTTTGTAAAGTGATACAGGGCATAGCTCACGGTAGAAATCTTGTAAGATTTGAGTATAAGGATGAACCCTATTTATTTAATCTTAAATTTGACTTTCAAAGCTTTTAAATATATGGAACTTTTTGAAGAATTGTACAGTATTAGATTTGACTTCTAAAGCTTTCGAATATGATATTTTAGAGCATGTGAATATATGCTGGATTGATTCCCTGTAGAATTGTGAGGGATTTACTTAGACCTTTAAGAATTTGATTAGCGGGATTTGTTGACATTGAATTAAGGGCTACAATAAACGACTTTGCTGTTGGTTATTTAGAACTGGAGTGAGCGACTTTGCTGTTCGTAAGCAAATTAGGGAGTCGGACATGCCCTTGTCTATGTTTTGTTTTATAAATAATTTGTAATAATTGTTTCTACTTAGCAGTATTATAAATATTATTGTTATGATAATTAAAGTTAAATATATTTTATTTATGTTTGATATATGAGCTAATGTTGTTTATTCTCAACTGAATTTTTATGAACCAATCTGTATGGCATAAGCTAATGTTGTTTATTCTCAACTGAATTTTCATTTACCAAGTTGTATGATATGAGCTAATGTTGTTTATTCTAATTGAGTTTTCATATACCAATCTGTATAATATGCTTAACTTTGCATTAAGTATGACATGTATAATTAACATAATATTTTATTTTTAAGTATGACACAGGATATAGTTAACTATTTTAAGTGACCGTCACTAATTTAGAATTGACTTTCTCATTCTTTCTGTTGTTTGTTTTAATCAGAGATTTTCAACAAGCCAACCACAAAATATTTATAGAAATTAAATTAATAAATAGTTATATTTTTACATTCATTTGTGTACCATACAATACCTGGTTTAGCTTGGTTCCTTGTGTATATGTATATTGATTTATAACAGAAGAGATTTGATTTATTATGTTGCTCCACTTTGTTTTATTGTCTTTATATGAAATAGTTAGCCCAGTCGATACAGACAAGTAGGACGTTAAAATCATTTTATTTTAATTTATTTATATAAAACACTCTGTTAGAGATTGTATTCAACAACTGACTGGTTAGAGATCGTATTCAACAACTGAGTGGTTAGGATCAGTATTCATCTGTGATTTGGTGGTGTTTTTATACTTATTTTATTATCAGATCTAGCACAGATCGATTGAATACAATATGGTATAATATATACATTTACTGTTTTATATGTAAAAATAACAAGATTAAGGTAAAAAAAAAAAGAAGGTACCAGTCACACCCATAGAAAATGAAGGTTAACATTATAGAATGAATATATATTTTTAGATTTCTTGTTTATGCATTACCTTTATGTTATTGTTAATCTTGTATCCGTTTTTAAATATATAAATTGATAAATAGTTATTTGATTTGATTTGTATTATTCATTTATAATACTCATTACAATTATTTTACATTCCTGGTTTTTTTTTTAATTTGTAAGTTTATGATATTCTGTGTTCTCAAAATATTATTTTAAGCTGTTTTTGTAGTTTTTGTCCCCCGCCTTTCGAAGAAAGCAGGGGACTATTAAAATGGGTTCGTCCGTCTGTCTGTCTGTCTGTCTGTCTGTCTGTCCCGTCTGTCTGTCCCGTCTGTCTATCCGTCACACTTTTTGGGACACAATAACTCTCTTCCTAATTGAGCTAGAATGTTCAAACTTGGTGTATGTGTTTATTAGGTCAATGCCTTGATGGAGTTCGAAGATGAGCATTTTCCGCTTAGGGTAAGCAGAGATAAGCAATTTGATTGGTTGATGCTTTGGGACACGATAACTCTCTTCCTAATTGGGCTAGAATGTTCAAACTTGGTGTATGTGTTGATTAGGTCAATGCCTTGATGGAGTTCGAAGATGAGCATTTTCCGCTTAGGGTAAGCAGAGATAAGCAATTTGATTGGTTGATGCTTTGGGACACGATAACTTTTAATTGAGCTAGAATGTTCAAACTTGGTGTATGTGTTTATTAGGTCAATGCCTTGATGGAGTTCGAAGATGAGCATTTTCCGCTTAGGGTAAGCAGAGATAAGCAATTTGATTGGTTGATACTTTGGGGCACGATAACTCTCTTCCTAATTGAGCTAGAATGTTCAAACTTGGTGTATGTGTTGATTAGGTCAATGCCTTGATGGAGTTCGAAGATGAGCATTTTCCGCTTAGGGTAAGCAGAGATAAGCAATTTGATTGGTTGATGCTTTGGGACACGATAACTTTATTTTGTTTTGTTTTTTATTTCGGCGGGGGACATCAGCCTCACTGTTGGCTTGTTTCCATTTATTAAGGTTGATTAAACATGGCATCTACAACTCAACTGAGTGTTGCAGCTAATAACGCAAAGGGACACGGGTAATCCCTATAATTATATGGGCACCCCATGCATAGAATTTAAAACGCCACAGGACTTGAAGCATGTAAAATAGTTAAATTTCCAACTACTGATTTAACATTCCATGGATAAATAAAATATTTGCATAATAAGATATTAGAATTTGTTTTGTTTCTTTTCCTCCACTTAAACGTATGTTATACTGCTGACTATACACAAATTCAGGCAACCGAATTCTGGGTAACTGAAGTAGCACGTACAGGTATTGGGATTTAAACATATTTTAAAGCCACAACACTAACTTTATATTGCTCACTTATTTTTTGTATTCTGATATTTTTGTAGGTTTTTATAGATATCATTGGTTCCGCTTGATATGTTTACAGTTAATACTGAATAATTTTGATAGCTTGTATTTAGACTGTTTTAACACTAAAACTGAATTTTACAGTTGGAACTAGTACTGCTGATATTAATTTAATCATTCCTTTTGTAAGCTATTGTAACTTATATCAATTATATTTACTGATGAATAAAACTTTCACCTTAGTTATACAATGCATGACCACGTAAAGAAATTGGAAAATTATCTTATTTATATAATAATAATAATAAAAATGTACCGTATATTTTTGGAGACACAATTTAAATATTTTTTTTATGTCCTTGGGTCCAGGCTATGTTACCAGGGACTCATTTTATCTATTGATTTTCAGCTTACTAAAATAATCGTTAATTATATATTTTTGCTATTTTATTATAAAATAATTGTTCATTATATATTTTTGCTAATGAATGTAATATTCATAAAAATTTTATTGACAGGTTCTTGTTGGACATATATTTTAACTGTCCTTAAAGATTCATTTAAAAACAAATTATTTTGTAAATATCTGTTACATTCATTTGAAACAGGAGGAACAGCTTGTTCCATTATCCATACTTGTTATGATAAAATTAAAATTTAGGCCACCTCTAAAACAATTCGGTCATGATCAACAAATTAATGTATCATTAACTGGGCCGGTATTACAGACCAATTTATAATTAAGATTGTTTATTACAGAGATTTGTAATTAAGATTACGCAGTTGTTTTTGTCCCCCGCCTTTCGAAGAAAGCAGGGGACTATTAAAATGGGTTTGTCCGTCTGTCTGTCTGTCTGTCTGTCTGTCACACTTTTTGGGACACAATAACTATCTTTTTAATTGAGCTAGAATGTTCAAACTTGGTGTAGGTGTTTATTAGGTCAATACCTTGATGGAGTTCGAAGATGAGCATTTTCCGCTTAGGGTAAGTGGAGATAAGCAATTTGACTGATTGATGCTTTGGGACACGATAACTTTAGTTCTAATTAAGTGAGAGTGATGAAACTTAGTGTATAGTTTCATTACATCAATACCGTGACTAAGTTCGATAATGAACATTTTCTGCTGAGGGTAAGCAGAGCGATAAGCAATTTCATTTGGCGAGACTTTGAAACACAATAACTCTCCTTCTAATTGAGGTAGAACGTTCAAACTTGGTGTAGGCATTCATTAGGCGAATCCCTTGATGGAGTTCGATGATAAAGATTGTCTGCTTACGGTAGGCAGAGACAATCAATCTGATTGGTTGATGTTTTAGGGGCACGATAACTTTGGTTATATGGAGTGAGAGCGATGAAACTCTGAATATAGATCATTATATCATTACCTTGACTAAGTTCGATTGTACGAATTTTCTGCCTGGGCTAAGGAGCGATAAGCAATTTGGAACATAACAACTCTGCTTTTGATTGAGGTAGAATGTTTATTAAGTGAATGTCTTGACTGATTTCAATGATTAACATTTCAAGTTAAAGCTAAACAGATCTAATCAATTTCATTGGTCGATGCTTTGTGACAAGATAATCTTGATTCTATCTGATAGATAGTGATGAAATTTAGTGTGTAGTTTGATTGCTCGATACTTTTGAAAAAAAATAAATGTGCGATTAATTAATATGTGTCATCTATTTATTTTGTGATTTCGGCGGGGGACATCAGCCTCACTGTTGGCTTGTTTTCATAAATAAAATTATTGTTTGTTTGACTATTGTTATTAATAGATGCAAACCGATTTAATACGCCCACATTTTAGTGAGGGCATATTATGTCGCAATCCTGTCCGTCTGACCGTCCGTTAAAATTGGCTTGTGAACACAATAAAGGCTATAGTCCGGTAGTTCAGCTCTGAACGTATAGAGCGGGAGCCCAGGGTGATAACCTAGCTGAAAAGTGAACCAATTTTCTTCTATATGGTATCAATGCATGTATATCTGATTTCATCAGAATGTAATTCTGCCGGGTTTCAGGTACTGGGTGTGGTATTCCATGCCCAAAATGCCATGCCCCCCCCCACCCACAACTAGGCTAGATTGGCTCAAAAGTGTACCACACGAAAATCTTACTGCAGTGTACCGTACATCTTCAGGTGTTATAAGACCACTTTGACAGACATTTCTAGTGGGTCCCTGTGAACGCCGGAACAATGTAAATGAACATCTTAGTGAGAAAATAAGACCGTATGAGCGACACAACATGCTGTTAAAAAATATGTCCCCTTCTTCTAAACGACTTGACAGAGGCCATTGAAATCTAAATATAGGGTAACGCACAAATTTACAATCTCAGCCATATAAGATGAAACGAAATTTAGGTAAGCCTACTAGGGGAAAGTAATTGAAGTTTTTAGAAAAGTTCAGAATCTTCTGTCATTTATTGCTTTGCCTAGCCCAATTACAATAATTTACAATCAAATTGTTTCAAAAATCCCATTTTTTTCCACCCAGGTTTACCTAAATTTCGTTTCATCTTATATGGCCGAGTTCGTAAATTTCGTCGGCGCTCTACTTCCTGGCTCCGGAATTATCCCCTCCTTTGTCGATAACATTGCGAACGCGATAGGGGCTACATTTTTAAATGAATATTTGGCTGTAAGGATTGGGGTTATGAGAGGATAAACCCTATCGATTTTCATCTTCCTTGGACTTATGTTCTACGACCTTTCGTACCCGAGTTATGGCCCCTTTTCCGAAAACCATGGTAACACGATAGAGGCTGTAGTGTTCAACAGATTGTTTAACGGATTCTTATCAAATTTGATGTGAAGGATTGTGATCATATCAAAGTTATCCCTCCTTAACCGAACACCTCGTGAACGTGATAGAGTCTATATTTTTTGGCGAAATGTTTTCAAAAGGTGTGAAACAGTGGTCATGAGAGGACGAATCCTATCGATATGCAGCGTTCTACGATTTTCCGTTCCGGACTTATATTCGTCCTTTGTTATAATCCTTTGGGGTCACGAGAGAATGAAACCTAACGATTTTTAGCTATCCACACCTTTCCGTTCCGGTGTAATCTCCCCTAAGTCAATAACCTTGGGAACCCAATAGAGGCTACAATTTGAAACGTTTTTATTTTCTGTTTGGGTTTGAAGCATTGTAGTCAAGAAAGGACAAACCCTATCGACATTGCGTGTACCGTGACTCCGTTCTGGAATTATCCCACTTTGCCGAAAACTTGTGAACGCTATTGATTTTCAGCGTGCGTGATGTTCTGTTACGTTGTCCTCCTCATTTTCCGAAAATATTGTGAAGGCGATAGACGCTATAATTTTTAACAGATTTCTTTCACCTTTTGGCGGGAAGCATTGGGGTCATGAGAGGATGAACCCTATCGATATTAAGGGTTCTGTGACTTTCCGTACCGTAGTCACCCCCAGCTATAGAGGCTATAGTTTTTGACAGATTGTTGTCCAATTTGGTGTGAAGCATAGAGGTCGATTTTCAGCGTTTCGCTACTTTCCAGCTCCCTGACAAAGTATAAAAGTACGAATCACAGCAAATATAAATGCGTATGAATATAAATAACTTCAAATATAAGTGTATAAAATATTTATAAATATAAAAAAACCGCATTAATAAGCTAGTAAATATACAGATGAAATATCAAAGTATTAATCTATTTATACGATTCTGGATAAATACCTACTTGAAAAACGTGAAAATAAAATATATATACGAATTATTTTTTGTACACGAATTTTTTTTATATGTATTAAGGCACATAGTTATAACTACACATGTAGATTTTGATAAGGACTGAGTTGCTGATAAGTGTTGGTATCCATAGTTTGTTTATCCAGTACCTCATATGGTGATGCTGTTGTAGATGTGTTGATATAGTCAAGGTTAACGGCATCTCTAGTATTGGTTGCATCAACTCGGTCATAAACTGGTGGTATAGGTGGTATATCAGACAGGGTAACGTTGTCTGTACGATTGGTTGTATCGTTAGCCACCGTTTGATCTACTGTAGAAAACACAGTTGATTAATTTATAAATACAGAACACTATGAAGACAATTCTGGTGCACGTTTAACTACACAGTTGATTATGAGACACGTTAATTTCAATTACAATATGTCCACAGAAAAGTATCCTTTCAATTATCCTTAAAATATTTTCTTCACTAAATAAAGCTTTTTGATAAATGCGCGATTAACTTGAGAATTCCCCGATTTAACATGCAGTAGTCAAACCAAAACATTTTGTTTAACCCATAAGTGCGTAACCATTTTTTGTTCCCAAACCCCTTTCGTGCATAAGCCTAATTCCTAGCATTGCGACGGAAATTGGTACCAAATACAAAAATGAGGAAAAAGGTATTTTCTGACAATGACAAACCCTACAAAGTATATATATTTAGAAAGAGTATAAAAAGGGCTTTCTGAATCTGTAAAGAAAATAAGGTAAATATTTTTTACATGAATGTAGGTGGAGGTAGAATTGACAACTTGAAATCAGAAAAAAAAAAAAGTTCCCACTTCTGAGAGCAATAAAAAAATATTTATTGATGCAGAATGTTAGAGATGAAGTATGCTGCTTTTAGAGGCATCTCTTTGGTACACAATACAGAAATTTTTTTGGGAAAATATCCAATAACCATTATAACAGCAGTGGGAGGAAACCGGAGGACATCATCATCTTAGTCACTACTACATTTTGTACACTCATCAAACCATAGATTATGATCAAACACACTGAACTGCAGCACAAATATCTACGATTTCTATGTGAAGCAAAAAACTGGACAAAAAACGCTATTTTGCGTAAAAAAACACAAAAATACACACTCTGTAGCGTAATCCAACCCAAACAGTATTCCTTGGCAACTATGAATGGGATCCTGTACAAATCATGTCTTAAATCGGTTAAAAGTTACAGAAATTTTACTCAAAACATTGCCAGGACGGTCATGCTGGATTTAGACAATGGCATCACAAGGGGATTTCCTGTGGAACCACCTTTAGCGTGGTAAATTCAAAGTGCTGAAAACGATACGGGAAATTCCGTAGCCATGCAATTTCAGCCTTTGTTTACTCTACGGCGTAGGCCGTAGCCATGCACTTATGGGTTAAAAGGTTAATGAAAATATAATGCCTCAACTACAAGAGATGAAATAGTTAACAATCTTAAACGTATTACCTTTAATATTTTGAAAGCAAATTCTCTGTCCACGTTTCTTCATGCTGCACCAGAGTGAAACGGTGGCAATACCCAATACAAGAAAACAGACGGCAAGGCAAATAGCTGCACCAATACCCCGTTCTCTGGAAATAACGTCATCATTGTCCCCATCTTGTGACGATACAACCAGGTTAAATACAGTAGATTTGGTACCAGCACTGTTATTAACATAAACTATATATTTGCCACCATCATCTTCTGTAACATCTTATATAGTTAATGTTGATGATAGACCATCATCTTCTTGTCTAATACTAAAATCTGTAATCAGTTGTTTACTACCATCCTGTAGTTGATAATACCAGGTATATACAGGTAGTGGATAAGCTAAAACATGGATTGATAATGCACCTGTCTCTCCACGTCCTATAGATATAGTAGTTTTAGTTTTTTGGTTAGGATCCAGGACAGGCGCACCTGAAATATAGCAAAAAGGATATTGATATCAATTTGTCTGATTTCTGCCACCAGGATTTAAAATGGTACCAGCTACGCAAGCGAAGTGTAATTAAAACAAGAAAAGTATTTAAAACAACTCTAAGAACAGTATGAACAACCTTCTCAAGAAAGATGCCAAGCAACACTCATTCACAGACACATGACCACAGGATATGTTCTACATCTGCTACCTTCACTTTAGCACAAAATGGCCATCAGATAAAACTATAAACATTGCAATAATGCTTTCGACATATATTTAATTGCATATATTTAATTTTACCTATTAACCCAATGAATAAACAATCATCAAATATCTTGACCTCTAAGCTATAGTACTTACATCTAAGATAGAGTGGAATAGTTTTAGATACAGATTGACCACCAATATTATTACTAGCTGTACAGGTATAGTTATCTGTATGTTGACAACTAGCTTTAGGTATGGTATATTGACTACCAGAATAGAGTTGTCCCCCTTGTGATCTAGACCCGGATATTACTGAAGATGGAAGACTGTCAACAGAACAGGTGAAGGTTACAGTAGAATATTCATCTACCATGTTGTTGATAGCATCTGATGTTAGACTTGTGATGGTTCGTGGATCTGTTTTATAAACAGAAAATACTATCATTTAGTATAAATACAACCAAATGTTAAAGTGAGAATTTCATATTTTCTAAGAAAGTCAAAACATAATTATTTCTATGTCTTTTGCTCAATAGGTTATCAACTCACTATTATACGACCATGGCCATTATTTCCCACCCTTAAAAATCATTGACACAGGTAATAATAACACAATTACCTCCCTTGTTTTCCTATTGCCTCCATGCATTAGCTACCTTCAAACGTTTGAATTTAAAGTTGAAAATGGATATTTTTGCCAATTTCTCAGCTGGCAATAGTGAATTATAGGATTAATAGGATTATTCTTTAACAAGGTAGGACGGTTTATGGATACCATCTTTTTTAAGGCTTTATTTTAATAAATTTTAAAAATATAACTTAAAAATATGAAATTGTAGCTTTAAGCATGTCAAAAGGCCGTGGTAAGTAAGTATAAAATTCTCACAT